ATGTTTGGGGGGTTGGTGAGACCAACATATAAATATGAGCGTTCTCTGTCCTAATACAACTCCGGTCTGCTAAGTCTTCTTCTGTCTTCCTTCGTGTCGGGTTAGTCAAGGCGTCAAACAGAGCAGGCGTAAGGGCGGAGATTTACCAGCTTGCGTGAGACAACCGGTAGATTGAGGGCACAGTGTTATAACAACTTCATCTCTTTATTTTGCTGAACATATCTATTTTTTCTAATGAACCACTATAGCGAATTCACTGGCAGTTAAGTGTTGCTGTTTTTGGAAGCGGCTCACCATTTGTCCGCTGCGGAATTATCACACCTTGCCAGCTGTTGGCTGCACCTGATTTTGGTTTATATTTGGTCTTGTCATCTCAGTGTTTTCTTTGCTGTGGTTGGTTTTGACAGCTGTACGTCTGTGATAGTTTGTGTGTCTGAGTTAGCAAGCGAATTCCGGGTCGAATGCATATGCATTCGGAGACTCATGCCTGTCGCCTGATCGCAAGACTCGCACGTGACTGACTGGCTCGACACTGTCTCATTATGTCCGATATCCTATGCACCAAGTCAAGCCGTGTTATACTAGCCTTGGTCTCCTCACCAGCCTGAGACTACTGTGTACGAATTCTACCGAGTCCACGTGACTGTCCCTGACTGCGTGCTACTGGCTGAGGGGACTATGCTGTGCAACTGCTGTGTGTGATTTCAGTGCTTTGCTGGTTTCTACCTTCTGTACTTCAGTTGCATCTGAACTCTTCAAGAACTGATGCTTCTTGCAATCCTTTGTCTTCCTATTAGCGGGCATTCATTACCTACGCGGTGTTAGTTTGATACACTAGGAATATTACAGCGTCGCTTCCATATGTTTTATGAAAAGTGAGGTTTTCCGATGTGAAGAACCCTGTTCACACTTTTCTTACTGTCCTCACTGCCGCAGTGGGTGAGAGCAGTCCGCTAGACAAACTCAACACACCGATACTGATGACTCCGAAAACTAACGTTAATGATGAACCACGGCTCATGGTAAATACATGCTCGCATTTCAACGAGATGTTAAACATTTGTCTCAGACTTTTCTGCATGACGAATGCGTTCCAACACCCAGTCAGTATTTGCATGCATGATGTCTGGCAACTGGTCACTGGGAGGGGAATAAGCTCGATCGAAGATGTGATCTATGCACGTCATTCTAGCTCAGCGCGGCATGCAGTAAGTAACCCGATCAGTCCTTTTGGGTGGGTCTAGAGGACATGGTTATACTATAGGTCAGCTAGGAGTAAGAAACGCATCATCTGTTGTGTCACAACAGTAGATTATCCACCACTTTAAACGACGGACGTTATAATGTTTGCATCATTGCACATTCGTCGCATGGTGCATATTAATTTTGTATTCGGGACTCCTCTAAGCACTTTCGTTACGCCAGTAGGTGTAGACCATTTTAAAAGCAGTGTTTGCGGCGATAATAGTTGCAACTGGTTTTCCATTTGCAAGTCGAGTCAAGCAAGTGCATTATGCACCCAGAACGAGTGAATATTCAGCCGATTACTTGAGGCGATGGTCGTAGCTAGGATACCACCATTACGCAGCGCGTATAATCAAGCGGAAGCCGGACGAAAATAATACAGATCCCTTTATATAAGCGTGCACTGCTCCGTCTTACCATAAATAGTTATGTGATGCGATCTTATAGCATTTATGCTTGTCATAGGGTTCGACATGTGCATACCAAAGGGAAAATAAGTTAATGTGTAGAAGAAAATACCGTCTTTTTCGGACTATAAGGCGCAGTGAAAATCCTTATATTTGTTAAAATATCGGCAGCGCGCAATATATTCCGATGCGCCTTGTGTAGGACCTCAAAATGACACCTGTTAAGAGACATGATTACGAAGTGAATTTCAAACTCAAAGCCATGAGCCACGTAGTACAACACGGGAATAGAGCAGCTGCGAAAATTTCAACGTTAATTTATCAGATTACAGAAGAGTACTAGGGGGAGTTGTATGGCATAGGTAGAAATTAGTTACATCTAGACTCACTCAGACAGCCGCCACACGCCCGGAAAAGCACTGTACGCACATTTCATCCTTTCGGGAATCATCAGCAGTGCGCATTCCATCGGACCCTTGGTAGGGCTCGAACCCGCAACTCGACTGTTGCCAGTCCGTGGTTCAGACCACTGAGCTACGGGGGACGGCAATGACCATCGTGAATAAGTTACTAGATGTGATATAGCGCCGCTCACTCTCCACTGACTTACACGTTACTGTCGTGCAGAGGACAGGGTAGACCCCTCACCAAGCGACGAGCTTACCAAACTTAAGCCGCCAATTATCTTATGGCATTAGAAGCAGTTTGGTCCGATGGAATGCGCACTGCTGATGATTCCCGAAAGGATGAAACGCGCGTACAGTGCGTTTCCGGGCGTGTGGCGGCTGTCTGAGTGAGTCTAGATATGACGAATTTCTACCTATATTAATTTATCAGTCAGTGATAGGCAATTGGAAGAAGCACAAGGAGGCACCAAGTAAAGAAGACAAAGAAGAAGTTCCGTGGGAGAAAAAGCAAGATGGTCACCGTTAGAGGACAAAATTGAGCAGTGGATTACTGAACATAGAACAGCAGATAGAAGCGTCTAGGGTCTCCATTCGATTTAAGGCAATAGCGATGACACGTGATATGAAGATGAACGACTTTCAAGGAAGTCGTTCTTGGTGCTTCCGTGTTATGGAAATGCGTCATCTTTCCATCCGCGCAAGAACTACCACCTCCCAGCAACTGCCAAAGAAGTACCAAGAAAATATGGCCATCATCCGCACTTCGCACAAGAATAAGATCACCGAAAAGAAGATTCAGCCAGACCACATCACAAACATGCACGAGGTCCCTCTCAGCTTTGACATTCCCATGAACCGTGCTGTTGAAAAAGCAGGGAGGTCTATTGTATCTATACGCACCACAGGGAAGGAGAAAACATCCTTCAATGTAGTTTCCGCCTGCCAGGCTAATGGTCAGAAACTAACACCCATGGTCATTTTGAGGGGGAAGACTGCCAACAGAAAGGTGTCCTGCTGGCAACATCTTCAAGCTCAACCCAAAATACTGCATGGACGAGGAGAAAATGAGCGAGTTGCTGAGAGGAGTTTACGTCAGGAGACCGGATGGCTTCTTCCACACATCTCCGTCCTTATTGATCTACAACCCTATGTGTGCCCATTTCACCGAAACTGTCAAACTTTAAGTGCAGGAAACTAATTCGGAGCTTGCCATCATTCCGGGAGATTAACCAAAGAACTCCAACCGCTAGATATTGGTGTCAACAGGGAGTACAAAGTTAAATTGCGAGCGACGTGCGAGCATTGGATGACAGAAGGTGCACACACGTTTACTAAGACAGGCAGTCAACACCGGGCTATTCACGCCACTATCTGCCAATGGATCGCCGATGCATGGGCCAAGATATCGGTCTCAACTGTTGTCCGAGCTTTCACGAAGGCCGGAATCATCAATGAACAGCCAAGCAACAGCAACGAGACTGACTCAGAAGATGACGAGAAGGATCCGGACTTGCTTGATGCCGCTATCGCCTAACTGTTAAACTCCATAAATGAAGATGAAGTTTCCGAATTTGTTGAAAAGGAATGGTTGAAAAAGTGAGGGAATTTTTCTGTGTTTTATCTGTGCTACAAGTGAATAATGTTGAGAGTTATTGTTGATGAGTTGAAGTAAGTCTAACCTATCCGACTATTTCGTTTCGCTTTATGATCCTTATAATTAGGTGTGCCTTATGTGTGAAATTAGACCCTTTCACTGATACTGCGCCTTAAAATCCGGTGCGCCTTATCGTCCGAAAAAATGGTAAGTGCTCAGCTGAACTAAATGAAAATTGTAGGAATGCACGTATCTGATGACGGAATGGCTGCCAACGTGAAAGATGTGTGTGTGCGTGTGCATATGGCTACATATGACCCAATAAACATGTGTTGCTTCCCATATCAACCATCTAAAAAGTATGGCTGAAAAAGGGAATTTAGCCCTTCTAAGCGGAACCCGGAAAACCGTACAGGAAGACGAAATTTGGTATTTCTATGGAAAATTATTGCACGACATTTCTGGCCGCACCTTTACAAGCAGTTTAATGCTTTCTCACGCCCGAAAGTTTATTATAATCTGTTCCTTATCTATCATACAGCTGGCACACTGATGAAACGTTACTGTGGTCATACTGTGTCAGTCGCGTGCACTAAGCTGTAGGTGTGTGACTCAGACGTTCACATCGTGATCCGCGTGCCCGAATGTGACACGGTTCTTACCGGGCCAATATGGCGGGGTTAGTGTTAGTTTAGTAAGGCCAGTCCACTACAACCTAAGGAAAAAGTTCATGGCGGCATCGAGTAAGGTGTATCATGTCCTCGAGTCCACTTTGACTATTGCTATACTGTAACATACTGGCCTGTCCTGTTTGTAACACAGTAATAGGGAAAGCGACATTTGCATCCATGCGAATTGCTCGTTGGGTTCTCCAGAATTCGCTTTTTTCGCGGCTGGTTAGTGTTTGGTACTGCAACACGCACTCAGATCATCCTGAGGAACTTGCCAAGCACGTCCGCTTTTACTCGTGCTAAACCTCCCTTCACTGTTTAGCATATGGAGAGACGTCAAGCTTGTGATATGAAGGGTATTAGTGTTAGATACACATAAGTCACTAAATCGTAGGTTAATGTGGCGGCAAGACACATAGTATACATTGTGAACATTAGTAGAAGTGCATAACCAGCGCTAGCCACTGTCATCATACATTAATGTACACTGCCAAGTCATGTTCGCGATGCAGAACAGAGTATTTATCATTGCACCTTAGGGGCAAAGTGAAGGATGATTGAATGCTTGAGTTATGACCGAGTGTACAAATTCTGAAGGACACAGATCCGAACCTACCGAAGGAGAGGCAGAGGAAATTAAAAAGAACTGAAAGTCGAAGACACCGTGAAAACTCACTTGCACTCCAGATACCACATGCTAGACCAGGCATGCCTTTAACAAGCCATCCGCGATGAGATCTCATGTCGTAATGCACATGCAACCCACGGTTGTTGCGCAACTCAGGGTCCGCACCTGATGGGGAATGACAGATGCCATAAGTCAGGTGATACATCGCGGTACCCAGTTCGAGCGCTGACTACTTCGTACCTGGAATTCTCTCAGGAACAATCACAAATGAAGTAAGAAAGACTGTGATACGCAGAACCCTTCGAGTTAAAGTATCAAGATATTAAGTGTAGGTTCCGATCTTTGTATATGCGCCGTGCTGAAACTGGCGCAGGCGATTGCAGTTGGCCCGCTCACGAACAGAACTGCACTGCAGATCGGCAGTAATAATATAATAGAATAAGTATTTGGAAGTGTGGTTCACCAAATTGGACATCTATCAGAAATTGCCCGAGTAACGTATGTAAGCGTATTATCGGACAACATGCCATGAAAATGAGATTGGGGTCGGCCAGTCGTTTGAATCTTGGTTTCTACTAACGTCGGACATGACTTCGTTGAGGACCAAATAATAACAATTGCAGTTAAGAAGCATTCGTGACTATGATTTCACTCGCTCTGTGTATGATACCATAGGGGTCCAAAATTAGGGGAGAATTTCCGAAGGCATTTAGTAAAAGGCGTTTTCGGTGTTGCTCACTAAGAATACTACAAGACACGTCGAGATGACTTCTACGTTGGACGCAGGTGCAGTGATTGAAAAGAGCGACCAGGATCGACGCTTAGGTGGCGACCTAATAATGGTTTACCACATTCTGAGGAATCCCATCCACTTCTGCTGCCACTCACTGCCACTTAGTGAGAGCAAACATCTGAGAGGTCAGCACTACAAGTTGGCAGCGCAACGCAGCCGGTTAAAATGTCACGTAAACGTTTTCTCTGTTCATGTGTGCCAGCCTTGGAGCACCTTTTCGAAGTACGTTTCTGCCCCCATTTTGCTGGGGGTTAAGAAGGTCTTGACGTTGTTTCCACCCACTTACACCACGAAACATAGCCCGAGTACATCGATAGAAAATATCACGTGTCAAACGGGGCACCAACCAACATTTCCCAACGCAGTAGAGACAGGCTGTTTTACGCATTCCGCAATGCGAACATTATGGCGAGTCTATCAGAAAGATTTTAATTATCACAGTGTTTGTCCTTTTTGCGACTCTTATTCTGGCCACCTCAAGGGGACTGTCAAGCATTTGCTATTTCACTCCTTACTATACCATTGTTCTACTGTTCACTTCCTATCAACAGTCGTCATCCAACTTGGGATGCTTGTGGCGATATGTACGCACAGACTTTAGCACTAAAAATTCATTCAGCTTGTGAATGGTAATACGAATAACGGCATCAAAGTGGCTGCCTCATGTGCCACGTCACACGGTGGAGCAGCGAGGCCAAGGGCATACGTATATCCTAGCGCGCATTGTACCAATCAGTTAAGACCACTATTCTTGTCCACACTACAGCGTATGATTAGGAGCAACTACATGACTTACCCAAGCGAATCAAATGACGGACCAAAAAATGAGTATGAGGCTTTAGACAAGCCAGATGGAGAGCCGTATTGCCATCTTTATTTTGAGCATTAATAGCACATTTTCCGGTAACCACCAACCGATACAACAGAGCTGTGGCAGCGCTAACCCATGGGGGTGGTGGCCCGTAATCCTGGAATACCTCTGAAACCTCTTCTGTTAAAGAGACGGACTGAGCAAGCTTTGTTGTAGCTAGCACCAGAAGATGAAGCGGGCTGCCTCCATCGACACGAAGTGCACTATGACCGCTGTGCACAATAGAATGGGCCTCCCAAAATTTCTCCTGGGTTGCGCTGGCAATCACAGAGAGCAAATCATTCGGTGGAGTTGAACGGGTGCTTCCTCCCGGGCTGCGGGGTCTGTCCTCTGTATGCTTACTAGCCGGGTAGGCACACGGCATTAATCCTTTAGAGCTAATTGTGTGCAAGTTGCGTAAATCCTTGCATCTGGTGGCGAATGTTGCTCAGTTAAGAAGTTCTCTGCATCTGGTGGTACTATTGCTGCTATGTAAACGACACTTCGCAGGTCAAGGTTACTCTGATCAATGTAGCGCTTCATTCGAGCGGCTCAATTGTGCACACCTGACCACCGCTCACTGTGATCGACCGTGAACACAATCGACCGGATGATTGTTTTAGTGAGGTGACATGGACAAGGGAATGAACACAAATCTTGCCGCCTGAAAAACTGCAGTTTACTACTAAATTCGTGCTCATTTGAGATTGTGCGTCGCAGTTCATTCACGCACGGTGAATGCTTTAAAATTACTTCTCCAATGACTTCCACTGGCCACTGTGTTGCGGATGTTAACTAAAGGTAGTTCAGAAGACAGCATTAACGAAGTCAACAGCATGTGTTCCGTCGCAGTCTTAGGTTACGAGCCCGAGCTACTGATGTGCACAAACCGATGCTGTTGGCACATTAGTTCGTTTAGTTAAATAGTTTCGCTATCACTGGCAAGTATGAGCATATTTATTTGTCGCAGCGCCAACGTCCATTCACTTTTGGGGAAAACTGGGAAAGATTGAAATCACAACTGTCTTGAATACATGTCCAGTCAGGTCAGGTTCTCAGAACGGTATAGGCTTCTGCCTAACGAGCGTCCTGCTTCTTGCACCTGCAAACAACCAAGGGCCCCCGGTACTTCGACTTTCAATTGCATTTCCCGCAAGGAAAACGCAGCACAAAGAAGCAAGCTGATAGGTTCATCGTTCATGAGTTCTCTGCAACAAGCACTAAAAAGTTTACAATATTTCTGGAAAGTCTTCTAACCACCATCTGTCTAGACCTCTCTTTAAGGCGTCAACGGTTGTATAGTTCATCAACGAAGGGGGAAGCTTGTTCCAGCTGTCAACAACGCGGTTCACGAAGTATTTCCCCCTGATATCTAGTCGAGACCTTCGATGTCTGAGGTTAAGATAATGACCACTTATGTGATCTGATGTAACTGGATCAAACAGGTAAATAGGCTTGATGCCGCTGAGGCCCTTCATGATCCCAAACAGCTTCATTAGATCACCTCTCAATCTGCGCCTTTCCATGGAAAATAATCCCAAGCTCTTTAGATGTTCAGCGTACTGCTTTTCATGTTGGACGTCGATCCTTCTAGTTGCCAGCTACTGTACCTTCTCCATAAAAGTAACATACTTCCGGAGATAAGGTGCCCACGCTTGGACACAGTATTCTGGGTGGGGGCGTACCACCGCTTTATATAATGGGAGGAATACCTCCGATCTAGTGATACATAGGATCAACCTGAGGCGGAAGTATTCCTGACGCGCTTTGTTGGCAGCATGCTGACATGATGCTGAGGGTCTGAAGTTACTCGTAATAACGACGCTCAGGTCCCTTGCTTTATCAACAGGCTGCAATGTCAGGGGTCCAGTAGAAGTCTGTACTGTAATTCCATCATTGTGGAAGTCAGCAGCTGACAGTTACTGGAGTTAAGATGCAAATCCCCTACGACTATGCTACAGTGCAGTGATCCTTGGACAACGTGTCTTTATTACCCCTACTAACCAGTTTCAGGTCATGGGCAAAGATGTAACAGGGGTAATCAAGAAGAGGTGCCAAGTCGTTTATGAATATGAGGAATAACACGGAACTAAAACAGAGCCATGGGGAACTCCACTATGAGCTGTGCCTATACTTAAGACGGCATCATCGACTCTAACGCGGAAGGTTCTTTGTAAAAGAAATGCCGATATTCAAGTCAACAATCGAGGATGAGTCGGAAGCCAGGCCAGCTTCATTAGTGGGAAACGGTGGTTAACCGAATCAAAGGCCTTTGTTGAAGACAATATAGCAAAGCTCTACTGAATCCCATTATCTAACCAAAGTGTTACGTTATCCAAGAAGCAAAAGAAATTAGTAAGACATGACTTCTTCTTGACAAATCCGTGTTTTTCCACTCCTATCAAGTTATGAGCAACTAAGTACTCGCAAATTCGGCTTCTGATAACATTCTCCAAACATTTAAGCAATACGCTTGTGAAGCTGACAGGCCTGTAGTTGACGGGTACAGAGTTTGAACCTCCCTTATGTATTGCCACTACAGATGCCTCTTTTTACTCTTGTGGTAATTTGCCTTCTCGAAGTGACGTGTTGAAGAGCTCCAAGACCGGGTGCTGGAGTATGTCGGCGAGTGATTTGACAATCGGAGGATGTACATTGTCTGGTCCCGCCGGTTTGTTAGGGTCTAAGCTAGCAAATACACTAAAGGCCTCTGATACTGTTAGCGGAGTGGCTGGCATTGTACTCCCGGTTTGACGATGTGGTGGAAAGTACTGGACGCATCTCATCCACACGATGCACTTTCTGAAAGACACGTAGCAGCAACACTGTCTTATCTGCCTCTTCTGTAGCATGACTTTCACTCCCTATGGTAAGGTTACGAACTCCATCCCTCAAAGATTTTTTTGACTGAACGTAATTATACTACAACTTTTACTTCGCTTTCGCATTCTGGGCTAATCGAAGCTCAGTTAGTACTTTGTCTTTCTTTGCAATTTGAATGCTAAATTCCTGCATCTTTTGTAATGAAGCCAGTGTCTAAATCCTCCAGATGCCTTAAACTTCTTCCAAGAATGGTTCCGTCGCTTAATCGCTCGATCTATTCCTCGGCGCCACCAACGCGGCTTGGCACCATGTCTTTTCCCTCCAGCAAACTCATCTAATAACTGGACAAGCCCATTTTTAATCAAGCTCCAATGGTGCTCTGGTTCGGGAAACCAGTCTATCTGCAGGGCTCAGCCTCGTAACTGAGTGAGTCAATGGGCCCAGGTTCCTCACAAGTCGGCATTTTGTTGGAGACCTCTTTGAATTTAACGAGAAACTAGTCACACAATGGTCACTCTTATGGATGGGATCCTCGGCGTTCACCTCTGATAATTGAGTACATACGGTTACCAAAACGTCCAGCGTTGAAGAAGTACGACCAACTCTCTTCCTCGTTGGGAAATTAACATGCTGGACATAAGCATTCTCTTGCACCCATTCTACTAGGTCTCGCTGCAGAGTATCTATCGTGTTCGTTTCATGGACCCAATCTGCATGCGGAGTATTTAAGTCACCGATGGCCATAAAGTTCCGTGCAGTTACTACTGCTCGTTTGAGCAGCTTACTAAGCTGCGTAACTTCTACTCGCGTAGAGGACAGGCTAAGATACACGAAAAAATTATTTTCAACCGTCGCTTCAACCTCAGAAAACATGAAATGATTTGGATGGTAGGTGTTAACATGGAGAAGGAAGCTTCCCAATTCGGGTAGTGGCTCTTGATAAGCAAAAGCACACCCAGCCTGACTGATGGCCATGCCTATCCACTATATTCAGAGAAGTTACAGATTCGATCACTCTGGGAGAGTCAAGTTTCAGTAACTGAAACTATATCGGCAAGTTTGCAACTTACCCTCAGTTCTTCCAACTTATTCCTTATGCTGCAAAAGTTTGTGTACCACTTTCTCAGCTCCCCTCTCTGATCCTTCCTCTCAATCAAATCGTTAAGCTTCCCTTCGGGCGTGAGACCCGAGGGGATAGCACGGTTTTGAGACGTTTTCAAGACGATTATCTACTTCAGTTACCCTACTCTCTGGATCAGTCATTATAGTACAGGAGATTTGCCTGTTTAATGATGGAGACGCCATCGTAGCGTTTGACGGTTTTATTTACTGTCTCGCCGACTGCCCATACAAATACCGGAACCGCAGCCGTGGTACCAATTACATCATTAACGCTTCGTGGTGCTCATCGGTGAAAGATATATTCTGCCAATTGTCACAACGTATCGATTGCTTAGATCCAAAGTTTAAGCCTAGGTATCATAATGGGTAGTATGCACTTATAACCGTCTACATTTTTATATCCCCAGTTGTCCCAACCCAAAAGCAGACAGATTTTATGATGACCAAATGGTTTCTATCATCGAGAAGGTCAATCATGCCACGAACATATTTGGAAGTGAGTTCAATAGATTCGCTATCACATTCTTCTTAAATACTTGGCCACAGAATGTCGAAAATAGCCCCACCATAGCAAAGGCAAACCTTGAACCAGTAATTAACACCAGTCCAACGATATTTTGCTTTGCAGTCAGACATCATTTCCATAGTCAAGCTACCCCCTGTAGTAAAGTGGAAAAGAACACAAGTATGTCATCCGCTGCAATGACCGCAAACGGATATGTAAACAACCCTGTAATCCATGTAAAACATTACTGAGGGAAATGTTTGTCTCCACAAACCAATTCGTTTTTCGACACAGATGTGTGAGCCTACAGTGATCAAGTGACCAGTTGCTTGGTCTTCTGCTACGATCACGGTTGTCCGATAGAAACCTTTTTACATCCACGCTGATCGGTTTTCTTCACCAAATCTCAGGTGGCTTCGTAGACTCAAGGACAAGGTTTTGAAGACAAAGGTATTAGTTCGTTAAAGCCTCTTTCTGCTCTTATTAAGAAAGCACTACACCACCTCAAGCAGGTTTATAGCTGGCAAATCCAAGGAAACATTTGTTGCCGTGAGATTTGACGGATGGTGAAATAACTGAGGGGACTCAGTCGTCTTGGTGCAAATTCCGTTGTGGACGTAGGAACATTAAATCGTAACTTCTGCTGCTCCAGCACTGAGTTATCCTTCGACTCATCAGCCGGATAGTTGCAGTGGCTTACGGACTGGTCGCGTCCTGTGGACGTTGCAGCACTACACGGGAATCCAATCAACTTACACTTAGGTAAGGAGAACGGACCTGAAAGGTTGTTTTCCGTCGTCCCCAAAGAGTGCGCGGATTCTTTAGCCAAATCTTTTGCTGAATTGTGCACAATGAGCTAAAAATAAGGCTAAATCGCAGATTGTTGGTGAACTACCCTTATAATCTCTGCGTCGGCGAAAGCTATTAGTAAATATCGGCTTCTTACGTGTTCTTCAGTGAATTTGTAGGTTTCGGAGAAGTATATGCTTGAAAGAATTTTGGAGCTATTCCTTTTAGAGGATCCAAATCATTACATGTATAGAAGTTCAAGATGTGCGCAAGAAGCAGTTGCTTGGCTTGTACATTTAGTGTTATCAT